ATGCTGTGGGAGTGTTGGTTTGCGAGCCGCTAGCGAAGGAGCATGGGGCTGGTCTGCTTGGAAGGGGAAGGGAGCTGGGAGGTAGAAGTGGGAGAGCAAACTGCTGTGAGGAGCTCTGAAGGTGACAGTCAATAAAAGGAAAACAAGGTGAAATGGTGCATTTAATAGCTTAATACCAGCCTGAAGGATAGAAACCGGCATTTCTCTGATCAAACCTACAGAGTAAGACAAAAGGTGAGGAACTCAGAAAAACTGCCTCGCCCTTTGAGCAGTCAGTGGGGATGATGTTTGTCTTGCTCTGGGGTGAGAAAAGCTATCTGCTTTTGCAGGGAAGATCAGTTTAGTATGTTTGAGAGTTTTTTTACCCTGTTTTGATTTTGGATTTTGTTCTTCTGCCTGCCTCTTCAGGAATGCGTCTGGGGGTTGTGTTGTGATGAAGAGCAAACTTGGGGCTCCCCTTAACTTTGAAAGTTGTTTTGCCAGTTCAGTCAATGCGCCCTTCGCTTTCACTTGGACATGATGTCTGTAGTCTTCCTGTCCCCTACTTTGCTGGTGGGCTGTAGGATATGGCTGGGCTCTGCCCTAGAAGCAGCTGCATTTCTGTGTGGGGCAAAGCTGTCCCTGGTAGGTATGCGTGGTGGGAGCTGTGGCGGTAAAGGAAAAGTAGACACTGAGACTGAAGTCACGTGCGCGACTCCGTCCCTGGGGTGTGAGGCAGGCTGTGGAGTGTTACCAACGGGAAGGACATGTGCAGGGTGTAACACCGTATTTTACAGTCATACCCATAGTGTAACAACTAGGAATTTGGGCTTGCTTGTTTGTAGGCTGCTTATTTATCTGCTACTCAGGCTTGTGGCGTTACTGAAAAGCTGCTGCAATATTCTCAGCTGACAGTTAAAGCCTCGCAACCCTTCCTCGCTTATACCATCTATGTTCTCCTGGGCCTGGTCTGGTACCTATTTTGCAAACAGCATCCTTGTCTTTTGGGGCTTGTAACGTGCATGTCATATTTGGTTTGAACCTCATTCTGGGTTCTCACATTGTGTCTATCCCGAAGTCATGTTGTTTCTTTTGCCCTTCGCCCCAGGCCCTGCTGCCTGTATGCCTCCATTTCCTCGTCGTATTCCCCAGGGCACGCTGGCTGGGTAGGGACAGCGTTTGCTGTGCCCAGCACAGTGAGGTCCCAGAGCACCACAAGCAGATGCTGTTGCAGGCACACCTCCCCTTCACACAGGAGCTCGCCAGCTTGTGCCAGTGGGCTCCTGCCCATCGCTAGCTCCCTGGAGGACAACCTAGCACTGCTCATAACAGGGGAGCAATTGCAGCAAAAGGTTGAAAAGGTTTCCCTGGCTGGCAGGCAGGAATAGATGGGGCAGAGGGATGGAGTGACCAGGGAAGGAGCAAAATGCAAAGGGAAAACATGAAGAAGTGAAGATGAAGATTGGAGAAAGCAAGATAGCAATTAAAATGAGGGGAAGACAGAGATGCCCAACAGAAGGAGGGAGCAAAAGGAGGGAAGAAGTCCCTGGCTGGAGAAAAAAAGGGAGCTCAAGAGGAAAGACTGTGCAGGAAGTATTGAGATGTTCTGTAGCCCCCACTCCTGCAATTACATGATGAGCTGAAAAGTTGGATGCCATTAAAAATAATAGCAAATCCTTCCTCTCCTGGCTTGGGAGCAAAGCTGAAAATATGCACCTTACAGGCTCCAGGATCACAAGGCAAATAATAAGAAGAGAATTGTGTGGGTGGAATATCTTTCAGCTAGTAGGTCGGGATCTTACAAGACCAGTCAAGTGTGCTTAAACTGTGCTGCATTTGAGAGTTGATGCATCTCACCCATAAAGAAAAGGTATAGCAAGTGGCTGGAAGCAAGGACTTAGATAAATACCAGGCTAAAAAGAAGAGACATATTCCAAAGAGCATGGAGACAAACTGCAGGGAGAATTTGCCTTTGGGACTGGTGGATTCTCCCACACCAGGTATCTTGAAATCAAGACAGCGATATCTTCCTGGAGAAATTACAGGTAGCAAATAAGGGGTTGAGGCTGACACCGGTTTTGTGGCATTCAGATTAGATGAGTGTAGTACTCGCTTTCATCTGTGCCATCTATGAAAAGTCCAGCTGTGTTGCTTGTCCACAGTGGTTAATGTCAGTGATTTTGGAGACGAATACGAGCTGTGACACGGCAGTGGCAGAGCAAGGCAGGCAGCTCTCTAGGAGGCTGTCTGGAAAGGATTTTCTCCTTTTTTTCCCCAGATGACTTTTGCTCTTGCTGCTTTTGGGTTTTGATTTCTGCTACACAGCTCTAAAACTGGTCCCTGTAGAGTCTTCCCTGTTGGGAAGAGGAGGGGGCTGTACCTGGCCAGGTTGGAGGTGTGAGTGCAGCAGCACACCCACACGAAATCATCCACCCTGTAGGGATTAAGCCAGGTTTCCACTGACCGATGTCCCAAGCTGCGCATAAACACAGCACCCACAAACTTGACAGCGACAGCAGGAGGCATTTCTTTATTAAGACAAGAGCCCTAGTGAATAAATGAGGAAGCAGGGGGTGGGTGTGTGTGTGGGGGTGGGTGTGTGTCAGAAGGCAAAGGGAAGTGGAAAAATTATTAAGTTAGGATTGATTTTTTTTTTCCATCTCCCTGAGCAGAGAACTTTTCCACTGATATAAGAAAAAACTTCCAGAGAGCAGCAGAGCCAGTAAAAACAGAGAAGATAACATCAGCACTGTGTGCTTAGTGGATGGGCAGCTATATTTAGTGGCTGACAGTGTAAGGAAGAACAATCATTAATGTTGGGAATTGGCTTCGTTAGGGCTTAGAGACAACTGAGTGTGATTCCTTAATGACTTCAGTTGCTAAATGAACTCTCCAGACTTCTGCTATCTCCTCAGCAGGGCAGCGGGGTGCGGAAACGGGGGCTGAGGAGGAGCTCTGCACCACCCCTCACACTTGCAGCCCTGGCTGCTGTACGGGGACATCTGGAGTGGGTCAGAGCCAAGCAGAGGTTGTCCTGAACCCGCAGCTGCCTCAAGATCCCCCAGAGATCCTTCCCACAAGCGGGATCATCTGGGGCGCATCATGCTGCCTCCCTCCATCCCCAGGCAGGCAGGCAAAGGGCAGAGGTGCGTGGGGAAGGGGAAGGGGGTGCAGGCTGGGCACGATGGCACGTGCTCCTCTACAGCCAGACGCACCCTTTGTACTCCCAGCCTGGCACCGGGCAATGTACAGCCATCAGTAGGCCATGGAAACCTTCCTCCCCTCTGTTTTTCAGAGGGGAGCGCTGCTCCCCTGCAGGCTCAGGAGCCGTCGGCATCCCTGACACCTGCCCCCCTCTCCCCACCCTGGTTTCCACCGGCGGGGCCCGGTGCCTATCAGTGGTGTGAGAGGCTGTTCGCCTGTAAATCTCTCACTGGAGCAAGGCACTATGTAAGCAGAGACTGTCCTGAGTGTAAACACGAGTGGCCTCTGCACAGCGAGCAGCCCCGCGATCTTCCTGGGGGCCAGCCCCGTGCCCTGGTGCTGTCAGGCACAGGCGAGGTGTTGCTGATCCATTGGGGATGGCGGTGGGATGCATACGGGTCTGGGGCGGCTTGGCCGGCTGGATCTGCGGTGGGAGACAGTGGCAGGTTATCTATCAGTGAAGCTCAGGGCGGTGTTGAACATGCTTACCCCGGCAGGGGGCTGGCGGCAGTCTCCATGGGGTGTCCCACACTGCCACCCCCCATGCAGCCAGATGGGGGGCAGCAGTGGCTCAGGGATGCACAGGGATGCGCCGCTTTCATTCCCCGGCGCCAGGGTGGATGATGGAGGTAGAGAAGGAGGTCGGAGGGCTGCCTGCTCCCTGCCTTCAACCCCCCCTCAACACACAGCCCAGCCTGGATGCCCCTTCTCTCCAGGCGCCGTCAGGGGGCAGGAGGGACAGGGCCACCCCCATTCCTGGCAGTGAGGGGTGGCTGGGGTGAGACGGGGCAAGCATGGCTTATCTGGCAGGTAGGCTTCTCCTGAGACATCCAAATTTCTTGCCTACAATGACGAATATGTGGGTGGTTCCCAGCCTCCTGCTCTGTAAAAGCAGGATTTGTCTTGCCTGTGTGGGGTTTTTTTCTTGGTTTTGACGGTTTTTTTGTTGTAGCTGTGCATCTGGGTGCAGTGTTCATTCTTATTTTTACTCCCTCTGCCCGGGTTTTGGGGGATGGGGAGGGGAGTAAAGCCTTGTGACTGGCGGAGGAACCATCATTTTGCCGCGTCTCCTGTGCCACCAGCAGCAGAAAAGCCATCGCCATCCC